CAAATAATGCATGAATTAAGGTGTGTTATGATGATAATATCATTCTCAATGCATGATATTATTTTTGAAAATCTAAATTAGTTGAATACATTTTTTTTTCGTCTTCTTTTTTACTTTCATTAGAACAGAGTTTTTAGAATTCGATTGCGATGGTGATAACTGGTTTATTGGTATAGCGCTTTCTACTGCTCGGTATGTCTATTCTGATATCATAGTGCAGAAGCTGACTGTTTTGAGGTATCACTTGAGGAGAGGAAACATTTTTGGATGGAATAAAAGATAAAGTGGTAATGCGAAATTTTACAAATTGTGAAATTATAGGTATGTTAGAAGTAGTAACATTTATTTGTCATTGTAAATCTTCCTTGTTCTCTAATTAATTAAATCTCAGTGGAACTTTTTATGAGATGAAACTACGCTATCATGTGAGTGTTTGAAATTACTTGTTGGGATTGTTGGTCATTTGATGTGTTTTTTGTTTATCATTAATCGGTTGACAAATGAGCATAAAGTGATTGAAATCATATCCATAAGTCTGCAGCACTAAATATTTCAATTTCTTCACAAAATCTTGAGCTTATCTCTATTTTGGAAAGTCATCTAATTTTCTGTTGTATTCACGGCATACAGTTCTAGGAGTGATATCAAATATTAATTAGAATTTAAAAAATCTGAAAAAAATAGTTTCTTTTTAGTCGACAAAGAAATGACGTTCAATGATGCAATATCGGAGTGTACGGAATTAAAGGCAGAATTAGCTTATCCTCCAGACAGAGGGAATGAGACTGCTCTGTCACCTGAAAGTGCTTTGTTGTCATGTAAGGATTACATCCTTATTAATTTAGTAAAGTGAATGGAACTGCCAATAGGCATGGTTTTTTTTTTTTTTTTTCTTTTAAAAATGGGAAAAGGTTAAAAATAACTGATATAAGGTCAGAAAAAAAGTGATATCATCAAGAGATTAAGAAGTGAATAGCATTCAGTCTTCTAAGTTTTTCCGATTAGCTAAATTTAAGTGAACTATCTTGCTCTCGGAAGGTTACATACTCCATGCAATAAGTAATTTACAACTTATGGAAGAATGTCGTATGAATACCTTTTTTACATTTCAGTTCATCTCATCACATACTTTATTATCGATTTATTTATTATTATTACCATTGTTATTATTAATATTAACGATTTTCAGACTTGGCTGTACGCGGTGGTTGGGTTAAAGAAGGAACAGAAGAGGTCGAGAAAGTGTTTGTGAATTGGAATATTCCTGATCAAAGGGAGATTAAATCACGTTTTTTCTGCAAAATTAAGTATTATTTATGAATTAAAATGAGGCATACAATAATGATAATTATTAGGAATTGCTCTTTTCGAAAATGTTCAATTTGAGTAATTTGTTATGATGGATTAGTAACAGATGAATCATGGAGAGACATATTACCGAGATTTTACGCAAATTGGAAAACATTACTTCAGGAAAGACCAGGAGCAATCATTGAAAAAGAAATTGTGTATGGCAAAACAAAGAAAGAAGAAAAAAAAAAAAACTGTTCGATATGTTTTAGAAAGGATAGAAAGATAGAAGAGAAGAAGTTGCATCGATTAATGAGACAATGTTGGTGATCTCCTATTTATTTTTTCTCTTATTTCAGAAAAAGTGTCTCGGTCATCCGTTCCGAATAATGCCACTGCATACAGAGGTCAGTTCTTTGACTGTTAAATAGGGAGCATTTTTAACAGATATTATTATTAGTTGTGTAAAAGATTTATTGAAAATATGCTAATTTTTACACTTTGAATGAAATGCGGTTTTTGATTAGATATAATTATAGCTTAATTTTAGATGAGTATAATTAGCTTCAAAATTTTCAGTGATAAAGTAGTTAAAAATTAGTATTGAATTAGGGTGGTGCCAAGAAACTTTTATTTCTTTCGTTCATTTTTGTACTTTATTCTACAAACATTTTGAAAATTCTTTGGAAGCACCTTTTTTCACATAAACTTATCCTTTTCAATAGAAATATTGTGGATAGTTCTGCTGTTCAAGCAATGTTTTCTGTTCCTGCCTTTCTACTTTACTGCAATTCAATTCTGCAAAATATCTGGTATTATTAAATTGTTTCTTTATCTGGTCATCATCCTAGAATGATTTTTGTTTTTAGGTCAGAAATGTCAAACATCATTTGTTTATCGTTCATGACTACTGCTATATCGCGGTTCGTTTTTATATTTTTTTAATCATCTATTTAGCTACAATTTCGGCCTTATATCGTCATTTTGGGTTGGCGTTAACCTTAGATTGTTTATCTCATCGAAAGTTCTTGAACATTCTGATATTATGCATGACTAGGTGTCATTGTAGAGCAGAAAGATTTGCAAGGAGATTAATGCATGCAGCATACGTCATACTTAAGAATAGTTATATTATATATAATACTAAACCTATTATCATTCAATATTTTTCTATGTCTATTTATAGAATGAATGAGTCTTAATTTGTCTGAAATAGTAGGATTTGCAGACATACTAACGTAGTACTGTTTCAGGGTTTTACTAACTTCATGCCTCGTTTTGCAATCCGAACAGTTTGCAATTTATTGGATAGTGAAATAGTCAAAATTAGGAATAAGGAGGAGGCACATACAGCTTATGGTAAGATTGAGCCAGTATTTGTTATTGTTTCTTTAAAGAAATATATGTTTTGAATTATATGAAAATTTATTTGAAAGTCATAATTGAGGGGAGAATTGTTAACTACTCGATAATAATCTATTTTTTCATTATTGAAATTTTATAACTGACTGAACATTTTTATTGAAGGTTTGTTAGGCCTTAATAAAAATTTATTTACAGGACTTGCTGGTGGGAAGTCGTTCTGGCTTGGATTGAGAAGAGGTATAATTTTATTTCGGTGACTACGACTCTATAACATTTGATTGTAGAGTTTCCATAATTCATTATTCAGGATTTAGAGAAGCTTAGTAAATTCATCAAATTTAAAAAAAAAAAGAAAACGGTAAATGTTGAGAATATAGCAAATCCTTTTTGCTTCTTAACTTACGATTTTCTCTTCTATTTGACTGCTTGTTATTTTTAATACATTGCATGGAATTGTAGATGAGAGTTCGTGGCTAAAATATCACCTTAGGATCAGTTGGTTTTATTTCATATAAACTTCGAGATTAAAGTTGGTAGCATATTCCTGCAGGAAAGAGGGATTGGTATTGGGATACTAGTACCTATGGAACTCGAGCACATTTTTTCTTTTGGCGTACAGGACAACCGGATATAACAGACAACAAAAATTGTGTTTACGCAGCTTACGCAGGAGAGTGGATGACTGCTGACTGTGATAACTTCCGCTCACCGAAAATGTTTGTATGTCAGAGTGAGTTTTGTAAACCCACATTGAAATTTTTAATCAGTCGCTTTCCTGGGTTATTCGGAAAAAAAAAAAGTTTTTTTGCGGAAAACTTTACTGGTAAAAAATTTTTCCGGGTATCCATTTTGATTTCAACTAATCACGAAATCATGGGTATGCATATTATTCACATTAATTAAATGCTTAAACAAATATTTTAGTGATCATTTTAGCTTTCATTGTAAAAAAGCATCCGGAGTAACTGTAACACTTCTGTTATCATTTTTAGTCGCTTTCTAGGTCAATATTTCAAATTTGTATTATACTTTTATTCGGATGATTTTTTTCTATTTTAGGCCCTTCATACAAGAACTAGAAGAAAGAAGTTATGTGGAATCATTGAGATGATTTGTCTCGTTACAAGCGCATCCTGTTCATAGATTTCATTTGTATCTTGAACATCTTAATGTTGGTGTGTATTATTTTTTCTATGGGTATCAAAAAGATAGTTTCAAAGAAGGTAAAGGAGGTAATCGTCTTATGTCCATTAAGGAATTTTTCTAGAATTGACAGAGTAACGGTGATCGATGTGAAACTATAGTTCTAGTAACTTTTCACTATCACATTTTATATCATTTTTGAGTAGAAGTTTTGCGAATGTATAGGCAATATATTTGAGAAACAAGAAAACATCGGTAGCTCTATAAAGTTGAGGAGACACTCTGTATTATTTATTTTTTCCAATTAGTCAAAGGTATTCAGACTCCATATGTGTCTTAAATGATGCAACTTTCATGTAAATGATTTTTGCTTGGGATCATAATGGTAGTAGTGAAATATTGTAATGCATTTGCAAGATTATTCTGTCTGTTTTTAATTGAATAAATATAAATGAGAATACAGAAATAGTTTGTGGCTGTTATGAAATAATAACTGACACAACAATTAATAATGGAAATTCGATTATTTCATTAGAGCTGAAGGATAATTTTTAGAAAGCTATCAAAAAAAAAAAAAGAAACTGGGCAAGTAAAATTCTTCCTCAGAATATTGAATCATAATATTGCTCTATAATATTTTGTGCTTGCAGAAATAGAAATTTGGGAGGGCAAAAATAGAAATTCGTGATAAGTGCGAGTAACAGACATACTTAGGAGAATGTGGGAAAAATAGAAATTCGCTAGGGAGTGCGCGCGGTAAAAGCAAATTCGAAAGCGAGAACGCGGCAGAAATATTTGAACCTGGAAAATTAGTTTGCGATTCCTTTAGATGAGCTTTCCATTGTTATATGGAGTATTAATTTTATACGCATATCGTTAAGAAACACAATTGCTATTATTTTTGGAAATTCTTTCTTAACTAAAACATTCACCATTCAACGTCTCCTGTCGATCTCCAGCTACGTAAGCAGTCAAAATTTATAAAGTCACGTTAAAAAACTTTTAAAATCACAGATGTCTAGTAGAATGCATATTAGCAAGCATAACAGAAGCCTAATAACTAGACATAGTCCTATGTGTAGTCCAAAAATTATATAAGTGGTGAAATTGTGTCACTATTAACATTTTATTAACTTCAACAATTTCAAACAATTATAGCAGAATTTTTAATCAAAACAGAAATCAAACAGAATTAATATATATTAATAACTAACGATGAAAAGTGGTAATACATAATTACTGCAAAATGATTCAAATGAATTGGTATCACAACAATAAGAAATTGCTAATTCTGTTAATAGCAATTAAAAACAATAAATGGCTGATTAGCTTGAATCAATGCATTTTTAATCAACAACATACTTCAAAAAAAAAAAAAAAAAAAAACGATTCGTTGGAAATAACCAAATGATATTCAGGCATGTAATCGAAACAAAAAGAATCTTAATACAACCATAACTTAATAATAAATAAAAAAAGGATACATAAGAACCATGGACGTGAAGATGATGGCAACCAGCATAGTATGACGACTGACATCAGATTGGGATGTGTTAGAGAGATCGAGAATATGATCAAATGATATTCCCTGTGAAGGGCAAATGGGTTGAATGGTATACACCGAGTTTTCGTGCAAATTAAGTAAGATAAGATATTTGCATATATTCTCCGAGCGCGAGAGAGTATTACTTCAGTAGGAAATGTTTTAAATGATTCTCATAAATGATTTTTTCAACTTTTTTTTTTCTTAAATTGTAACTGGGTTAAAAAAAAAAAATTGTAGGGTATTTGATGACTTAAAAAAGATGAGATTGTGCGAAATTTTCCAAAATATAATCGAGAAATTAATTTCAGGAAAAATATCAATTTTTGTGCGACATGCTGAGATTCATAGCGCCGTTTATCGAGTGCATCAAAAGAAAGTAAGTAGATATTTGCATATATCCCTTCAATAGGAAATATTACTTAAGTAGGAAATGTTTTTATAAATTATTTTTTCAATTTTTTTTTCTTAAATTAGAATTGCGTTAAAGAAAAATTGCAAGGTATTTGATGATTGATATAAGTAGTATTGTGATCAATTTTAATATAATTGGAACGCGTAATTTGGCATTGTTTTATCATCAATTTGCATCTGATTAATTTAATAATTTTATAGGGTGGGCTCGCGTGTCGCCCAAAATCCAGAACGTCGGACTATTTCCGACGTTCTGGCATATTTGGAGCGTGAACCTGTAATGCTCCAAGCATTACAGGAATATATGCGCGAAAGGGAGCAGGTAAATTCATTTTTCTTTTTTGTCATCAATTAAGGATTATAGAAAGAGTTATACTTCTAATTTATATGAAGAGTTATAGAAAGTACTTTCTTAAAATGTGGTCTTTTCAGATTGAAGACCTGCTCCTAACCTGCTTGGAGGATACGGAGAGGAGGTCGGAGGTCGAAGGGCAGGATGGAGAAGAACCGGTGCCTCAGGAGCAGGCATTTTACGAAGAAGAGGCAGAGTGGGCCCCTCTGCCTGAAACTAATGATACTGATGAGGCCGAGAATTGGCCAACGGAAGCAGAGTGGGCTCCTCTGCCGGAAAGCGATGAAGAAACTGAGGCACCGGTGGCACCAAATGCCGTTGCAGAACCGGTCGAATCGGTTCGCGAACTCGTCCTGTAAGCTTTGATATCTGAAATAAATGTAGTAACCATGTAGTAAACAAAGTAATAACTAGAACAATTGCTAACTTTTTGTTAATTTTATCTGCTGAATAATTTAAACCAAATTTGAAACTATTTCAGAAGGACGAGGACGATTAATGTTCCGGTTCTGGCGACGCATAGATCGGTTGCGGCAACACCGGAAGAATTCCACCCCGCTGATTTAGGGGATCTTCCGGAGCAGCTCCGACGGGAGTTGCTAGTGCCGCAAGCAGAACCATACACGGTGGTTCAAGCGAATGAAGAGAGGAACATCGGTAATTTATAATTTTAATAACGTTAGAAGATGATTTTATGTTTGTAATATTTTAAAGGAATATAATCATACTTTAATCTTTTACTGACAAAATCATATTTATGAGTGAAATGTTACAATGTTATCGATGCTTTAAAAAACAGTTTGTACTTCTTTACTATCTTCTAATCACTTCTATTTTCAGTGTGTGGTATCTGCGGCAGGCAGTTTGGTACATTGAAAGGGTGGCGTATTCACGCCTCGAGAATGCATAAGCAGGATGGTAAGTACTTCTAAGCGGAATTTGCAATTAGTTTTTAAAAACATTAGCATATTTGATTTATCTAAATGTTGGCGGACTAATTCATTATGAATATTTCAGGTTTTTGCGCTCGTTGTGGCCATTACCTCCTGCTGCCACCCGGATTCACGGCCGCGCAAAAGAGAGCGGCGACAGAAGTTCACGCTCTCGATTGGTGCCCGAGAGCGTGTGCGGCCGTGATCAACGAAAGGCAGGTCAAGCGCCGCAGACTTGACTTAGTGGGGAGAGAAGAGGATGCCAACCACCTCTTCATTCCAGGTGAGAAATTATTAATATCTAAGACTATTATTAATATCTATTAATATCTAAGAAATTTGAAATTGAAAAGGAAATAAAAATTCGAATGTACAGAAAACAAAACATTCAGAAAGTGGATTTCATAGTTTTTCTAACCAGCAATTTTTCTTTCAGGCCAGTGATAACATCCGGCCCTCCTCACGCGGCTGACCTGCTACTGCCTGTCCCAGCTCTCCAGTCTTCTGCCCGAAGCAGGTTAGTATTGCGCTAAAAAAAAATGAAAAAAATTTAAAAAAATAAAAAAAATCAAAAAAAAAATGAAAAAAATAAAAAAAATCAAAAAAAAAAAAACAAAAAAATGAAAAAAAAATAAAAAAAAAACAAAAAAAATCAAAAAAATAAAAAAAAAATTAACAAAATTTAAAAAATCAAAAAAAAAAAAAATAAAAAAACCAGTGAAAAAAATTTTGTTTTTAGTAATAATTAACAGTGTAAAAGCAACTGAATTCAGAGTTTGATAAAAAATTGTAAATTTTGTGAATAAAAAATATGGAAAAATGGGCATGAAGCTCATTCATTTTATGCTAGCATGTGTTAATATTAATTGTTTGTAGTGTATTTGAGAATCAAAAAGTTTGTGAAAGGGATTTCTTTTTCGTGGACAAAATTCGAAAATAGCTACTTTAGATCAAACTTGATTGAATTCAGTTGTTTTTTCTTTATCAGTTTTTTGTTGTGTTTTGTTGTATTTTTTTTTTTTTTTTTTGCCCTCTCTGGGCAACTAACTTTTTTAAAAGTTTATTGTTCTATTTTATTGTTTCTAATTTAACTATTATTATGAAATTTTTGATGTTTATAATAATTTTCTAGTTATTACTAATGATTTTGTTTCTTTTTTTTTTTTTTTTTTTGAAATAATCCATGGATTTTTTTTTCCATTTTTCACATTTTACATTAATTTACCTGTAATTTTTAATACTTTTTTACTACGTATGTTTTCATTTTTATTTTAGTGTTATCTAATTCTTTTCTGTTAATTTTTCTGTTATTTCTTTCATTTTTCATCTAATTTATTATGCGTATTGGATACCAACTTATATTTGATTTTGCGTTTCTTGTAATAAGTTTGCTGGTTGTCTTTGCTAATATTGTGTTTGTTTATTTTGTCTTGTTAGAATATTTTAATATCATATTAGATATTAGATAGTTAATAGCAGCATTTTACATTAAAACATATTTTTTTTGGAATTGAGTAATTTTTGAAGCTTTTTTTTTACATTTAACCTGATTTTTTGAATTATCGAATTAGAAAATAGTGGTATCATTGAATAATTTGATAATGTCTAGGTTTAATTTTTTTTGTTGAATTGCCATTTGGTATTTTGTGGTAGAAGAGATCGAGAGTAGGTATAGGTAGAGTTATACCTACCCTC